TAAAACTGATTTATCTTTTGTGGTGGCAGTGCATGAGGCTACATGCGCATATGTTCTTTTAGATGGTAATGAAGGTGATGGTATGTCATCTGTGATAGGCACCGTCTTAGGCTCAGGGTATTTAGTACGAGATAAAGCATCTGCATTTGTGTTTGACTTCCCTGGCCTGTGTACTATTTCATAATCGTAATCTTGTAACATAATTGACCATCGTCCAAGGCGACCTGTTTCCTCTTTGATGTTTTTGAGCCAAGTAAGAGCCTTGTGATCAGTGTAAATTTTGAATTTGGTCCCCGCCAAGTAAACTCTAAATGTCTTTATCCCTTCTACTACTGCCAAACATTCAAGTAGTGTTACCCCCCAATTCTTTTCTGATGAGTGAAGTGATCTACCCCCATAACAGATGACATGTTCCTTACCATCTGAACCATGTTGCCCTAAAATGTAACCGAGAGATGTGTTGGAAGCATCTGTTGTCAGAATGAAAGGTTTTGTAGGGTCTGGATAGGCAAGGATTGGAGATGTTGTCAGTTTTTGTTTCAAGACAGAGAAAGCTTGTTGACATTTGTCTGTCCAAGAAAATTTAACATCTTTCTTGAGAGTGTCATAGAGAGGTGACGCTATTCCTGAGAAATTGGGAACAAATTTCCTGTAGTAACTACAAAGGCCAAGAAAATGACGAACAACATGAACATTCTTTGGTGGGGGAATTTGGGTGACTGCCTCAATCTTAGATTGGTCAACTTCAATGCCAGATTTGGTGAAAATGTGTCCAAGTTATTGAACTTGTTTTGCTGCAAATTTACATTTGCTGGGTTTCAAGGTCAAGCCTGCTTGCTTTATCTTTTGAAAAACCACATTTGAGATGATTCAAATGTTCTGAAAAGGTTTTGGAATACACGATGATATCATCGACATGAATAAGGATGTATTTCCAGTTCATGTCTTTGAGAGCTTCTGAAATAGTACTTTGAAAAGCCATTGGAGCATTTTTGAGGCAGAAAGGTAAACGCGTTGAACCGTTGCCTTTACTCTAACGAGGTAACTGCCGACACTTACTTCAAGATAATGATGATTAAACATTTTAACACTAATCAAAATCTTCTGACGTTTACCAATTATAAGTAAATAACTTATAACATGAGAAACAGTTTATATAAGAAATGCCGGATATTGTATTGTAACTCTTATCTACTAGACTGCCACTGAATTGCCTGTATCTTTACAGACTATTCTACGATATGAAACACAAAATCAACCGGCGCTTCACGATAGTGCGGATGCACTTATGTGATAAATAGTTAAAATACATTGCCGAATCTGTGCGTATTTAGCTACGGAAACAGTGTTACTTTTCGTGTATTGTGTTTTAGACATATACGGTCACAGACTGGTTATCTTTAAATACATACATTTAGCTGCCGATGCTATGCTACTCATTATATTGAAACAAGAAATGTTTCCCGTGAAAATACAAACAGTGAGACGAATAACATGACCAGAAATATAAATGCAGATAATAGAACATGTTGACCACCAAGTCACTTGATACAGAAACGTTATACACGTTGAACATAATGTTTAATAAGCATCCACGACTTCCATAACTAAAATGGCGTAATATTTTAGATTGATATTTAAACGACTAGAATACTAACGCTAGTATCTTATCCGGGAGGCTCTATTATTCAGTATAGTATTTGATTTCTAGATGAACTGTATGAATTTAACATATAGCAGCCAAATCGTAGATTTTGAACAATACTTTTTGATTAACTGTAACATAAGTTCATTGTACCAGCAAAGTAACAAAGTTAGAATTTATTTACAGCACGTTTAACAAAAATGGCAAAGTAATAAGTAAAAGTAACTTACCTTCAAAAACAGACAGAGAGGTTTTCAGGCGAAATGCAGGAATGACTCTATGCCAAGATGCCCCTGCATTTATACCCGAGACCTCCAGTCCACGTTTGAAAGCATGTCACTACCCATCTGTCCAGTTTGGAATTGATAACAATGGTTTCTCACATGGTGGTCAAATTATGCAAGTTTTGATGTGCTGACTTGCTTAGTTAATTATTTATCTGCTGGTCGGCTGTGTTTGAAACTGGTCAGCCGGGTCTAGAATTTCAATTGATCACAATGGCTTCTCACATGTTGGTCAAATTATGCCAGTTTTGATGTGCTGACTTACTTAGTTAATTGTTTATTGGCTGGTCAGCTGTGTCTGAATCTGGTCGGCCGGGTCTAGAATTTCTATAGCCCTAGCCGATTAGCATCTGCCAGGTCGTTTGACTGGTTTCTCGAAGCGTTACGTATTATGATAGGCGTCCTGTAAACTATGTAGCGTTTACTGGCTTGGGAATGTGAAACTTAAAGTAGAAGAATATATTTGATTTTGATAAAACTTGAAGAAAAATATTATGATTTTCGCACTGTTATACAACCAATGCAGGACTTGCTAAACACCTGAAGACAATATCAAACACCACTCTTAAGCAGATAGCAGATATTCCTGTCCACATTTCATGTTGTCCACCACACAAGCTCCTTCCCTTGGAACCTTATCCAGGCTTACAGAAACGTAAGGTACAAGGTGCCAATTATCTTACTCACAACGACAGTGGTAAAAGGTATATGACATTGCTGACCCCAAACAGCTATTCAGTCAAACTCATTTGTCAAAACGTTGTTGCCTCTTTTTTCTGTTATTGACTCTCCTTTCATATATATCCTTTAATCGGGGTCTCCATCTTCTGCTTCTGTTAAACACATTTTCATGAACACAAGGAAACAGGATATGCGATCCTCACCAGCTGTCAGGCAAAATGTTAAAAACAGATCAAGCAGATATCATTGAACCTAGTTCCTCTGAATGGTATTTTCCAGTCGTCATGATTAAAAAGTCAGACAACAGATATCGTTCAGCGGCCGAATGTGGGAAATTGAATGACGTAACAAAGCCAAGCTTTTCCACTTCCTCGTTTAGATGATGTTGTCGATGCAATTAAAATGGTCCTGGTCACACCATTGCTTCACCTTTCAAACCCTGATTTATCCTCCTACAATATTATGATTTCTATCATAGGTATGCAACTGGGTAATCTTTTCGTAGGGCTTCTGCTCTACATCACAGCAATTTTATCACCCAAGCCAATCCAGTGACTGAATTATGGCGTCGTGTTTCAATCCCAGCTTCCAGACCATTCTTCTCACTGGATTGTCTGGTCCAGACTCGATGATTTACAGACCGCCGTCATATAGCTGGAATATTGCTGAGTGCGGTGTTAAACAGCAAACAAACAGATTAACATCCCATTGCCGCCACTAAAGCATCCACACACACACACACACGTGTATGCACGTCGTTATATAAGTGCAATAATCTTGGACGCGTCGTTAAACCCCGATTCACCTCACCTCTACATTGTTAAGACCATTGTCCTTGCTAAATACTACTTTAAAAATGTCAGTTTATGCATTGTCGTACCATATCTAGTATGACAATTTGTCTTTGACCATATCCATTGTTTGCATTTTAGGACGCTTCCCGGTCTTTGTCCTTGCTAAGCATTGTTCATATTAAGTCACTTCATTCCATATGCGTTGTCACAATTCATCTTTGCCTAACTATATCCAATTTTTGCTTTTGAGGACAACAGCTTTCCGCCGCAGAGTGGTATTGTCATAGCTTTCTTATAACACCAAGTTTCAGTCACGAAATATATCCCAATCAACTTGCATCTGTAAATTACTATTAATATTCTTTAAGTAAATTCAATGTAGATAATGAACCAGGCTGACAAAAAGGGACACTTTAAAAAACCTTTAAAAAACACTTTGTACCACCCCGACCCCGGTATTTCTGTTGGACTTGAATTATTGGACTTGAATTATATAAGGAGTTACTGATAGTCAAAAATAACCCCAATTTTTTATTTTTTCATCACTTGAAAGGGCTATAAAGTCATTATTTTGGTACTTCTTTTGATTTATATTACTGGTCCTACTGAATGCACATTTCAATATATCAATATCACATGGTATGTTTTCTAAAAGCGATCACGTGACCAGCCCCTAATGCATAATGATCGGAACGTGCAGAGGATATCAGGCACACCCGAGAATCTACATACGAGGAAGTTGGGACTCTGCTAATTTTCGTAAAACCGTATGGAAGCTGTATGGCTGACCTGTGCGCACATCTCGGCTGTCAACAGGCGCAGAAAAGATAAGGTACCTGTGTCAAAGCTAACCGGTGAAGGTGCGCCTCTAATTCTATGTTCCATAAATAATACACTGATTTTCGGATAAAAAGTTAAAGGCTTATAAAGTAACAGAAAGTCTTGTGGAATTGGGGAATCAAAATAGATGTGGCGTCGTAGTGGTAGATCTGTACTGATTCAGTTAAGAATCAATTATACACACCAATAAAATCAACATGTTTTCGAAGTTGCCTGTTGCCGAACGTAATGGTATCTATCATATACAAGATCATAAATATAAATAATTTACTTACTCAGAAGTTCTATTTATCACAATCTTCTCAAATAATTGATGTGGAGAGGGCGGGAAAATGCAAGGACGTTTACTCAATTATACGGTAATACCTTATGACTTTAGCAATTCAGTGGTTTGCCCTTCTTTAAAATTAATTTCTCCTGATTCAAATACTAGGTGTACTTTATATTTACATTAATGTATGTATTATTTTCCTTTACGTTTCTACATAATCACAATGCTTGGCCGCCAGCCAAGTCAGCCCACTTTTTTAATATTCACGCACAATTAAATTGATGGTTTGAAATAACTGTGAGTTTGCAGGCTTAGTTCGTTTTAGGAGGACTACAGTTTATGTATTCATGAGGGTCCAGGGCTTCGAATTGGTATTATACAAGTGGTGTTTGTCGCTTAGGGAGTGGAGCGTGAAAGGAGAATGTGTGCCGACAGTGGTAATAGCCGTTGATAACAAAATATTGTACGTATAACCGGAGCACTGATTATTCGGATACGCCCGTCGCCGCGTCATGCTTCTGTGAGTTTGAATGCGTACTTTTCAAGCATTCGAGCACGGGACTACGGTTATACCATTAGAGACGACCGATGTCTTCGCATGAAGGTGACATTTTAAGTTCGGGTATTCTCAAGAGGTGACATTACGATTTTAAAAAGAACAGTGAACAGCGAACAGCACCAACAGGAGTCGTCGTCTCGTGAACAAAATTCAGTAGGTAAGCGATAACTCAACACTGGTACGAACAGTGACAAAGCGTTGATAGATTGATATAACATTTATTGGCGAGTTGATGTTCATCGTCACGTGAATCATGGCTAATGCCCAAGTAGATTTGCAGTTTAATTCCTTCCCATCGTGGAAGCAGAATATTGTACTTTTGAAGGTTTCATATACACATTAAACAAGACCAAACATACCAGGAAGTCTTTGCTATGCTTGATCATGATCCCTCTCGCCCTAATGGTGAATGGCAGCTCAAGAATTATATGTTTTAACAAAATGTTTCATGTGTAGTGTAAAGTGTAGCGTATGCTGCGATACACTAATATGTCTATATTTCTTGTGAATGTGAATACCAAAACTGACAGAACTTATTTTCTGTAAACAATATCGAGAACAATACAACAAACTACAAAACAATAAAAAGCTGACACAGACATCTGAAGAAAACCATATTTTAGGCACATCGGGGTCTGAACGAGTCTGTTACATTCCTGAAGATAGCACCGAAGACCAACGAGACACGTCAAGTGCAGTATGCAGTAGGCGACAAGCGGGCCATAAAGTAGTGAAGAAAGTGCAAAAGAGGCCATATTCCAACTCCTGAAGGATCAACTTCAGATGAACTAATACTAGTAGAATTTGCTGATGAGACAGCTGCTTGTGTGCTACACATTAAGATTAACACAGCAAAAAAAATGCAGTTTCCGGTATCCGGATACCTGCCGGATACCTCCGGACACTTACCCAAAACGCGTCCGGGTATCTGGTGGCAGATACCTTGCCGGATACCAGATCCGAGGTATCGGGCATGGACACCTCACCTGAAGTATGCCACCTGGAATCCGGGTATCCGGCACCGGATACCTCACCGGATACCTCAATCTGGGTGTCCAAGGATCCGGTACCGGATACCAAGGATCCGGCACCGGATACCTCATTCTGAGTTTCCAAAAACATGTCACAATTTGGGGGGTGCATTTTGTTCAATTAGGTGTGAAACACCTAAATATATATTGGAAACTAACCAAGAAAATTGAACATTGCTGAAGGTATCCGGATGCAATTTTTCGAGATGTCTTATTTCTCGTAAATAATGTTAGCCTTTGCATATCAGATAGCTGTAGTAATATTCTGTCTCATTTTAGTTGTAAATATCCCCTTAAAGTTGAGATCTATGGGCATGTACTTTTGGAGAAGACACTTTTTCAATTTCATCTATAATTCTTTTTAGATGTTAAGCTGTTTAATGAACAAACATCAGTTCTAATACATGTATGATGATATCCTTAAATTTCATGTTCAGACTTCCAGATTGTTCTGAGTGAAAGTATAAACTCATCAACTGTGTGCTCACTTGGGCCTTTGGTCCTAGTGAGATGATATTATTATTATTTGTAAAGGTACAAGTACTTGTTACGAGCATACCAGCTTCATTTAAGTTTGAAACACAATATGCCTCACTCTGAGGGTGACATGTACCAGATTTCATCACACTACAGAGAGCTGTTCCTCAGTTACTGTGAAAACTTTTACTGAAAGACATTGAAAGCTAATTTGACCTTCAATATCAGTTGCGACTATTTCAAAAACAATTGTAAAGTGGTTCATTCAGTGTAATATTGACAAACATATGACAATGATATACAACTATATGTATAAGGGTTATTTACACTTCTGCAGGAAAAGGCACATAAGAGAACAAGAGTCATCAGAAAGATGACATATACCCCCGGCAGCTGTCTGTAAAGTAACCACTAGTAAATGTGCACTTCTGTATGTAATGAGTCAACAGTTTAAAGTTCTTTAAGAAGCATACATTGTTTACCCACAAAAGATCCATCATGGTCGCATCCATATGAATGCCAAGTTTGGATCAAATACATTGAATGGTTTTCGAATTCTGCCCCAGAAATGAACCTCATCCCCAATGGAGTCTATGTCCAACTTCAATCCATAAAAATTTAAAAAAATAAAAATTAGAAAAATCCCTATATGCCTGATAGCTTTGCCAAGTTTCAATCAAATACACTGAATGGTTTTCGAATCCTGCCCCGGAAACGAACCCCATCCCCAATTGAATCTATGTCCAACTTCATTCCATAAAAATTTAAAAAAAATTAAATTAGAAAAATCCCAAAATATCAAAAGGCACCACTTCAATATGTGCCTGGTAGATTTGCCAAGTTTCGATCAAATACACTGAATTGTTTGCGAATCCTGCCCCGGAAAAGGAAATGATAACAGGCGGACAGACAGACAGACAGACTGGCTGATCGCTATATCCCCCCGCATTATATGCCGGGGGGATAAAATGTAAGTGTATGACCTTTTGCCAACTTCTATCCCTGCCCTAAGGAAGAGTTTGGCCATTAACAATTTTTTTGTCTGGCTATGACATTGACCTTTGACATTGCAGATCAATGTGTTATTCCAAAGATGTCCAAGCAATGCATGGTTTCATACGATAACTTTGACTATCAAACTGAGGCAAAATATTGGAAAATCCCCATTTACACAGATGGCTAATGAAACATAAACAACAAACAAATTATCAATTTCTTTTATTTATATGCCTATATCAGACATTGAACAGTGTTCACATGATGGGTCCTGATGCAGTATGCAATTTCCTCCTTTTCTTCAATACTCATAACAGAGCGGGATAACTGTTCGCTTGAAAGCATCAGCACACCATGCTCACCAGTTCAGAGTTACTTGCCCTCAAACATCCTTTTCCTTCTATATTGCCATGGAAAAACAGGAACCAGGATGAGGGGAGGCCAGATGGGCTCTATCCCTGTTGCATTGTGTTAGTAGAATTGTGAGCATTCTATGTGGTGTTTGGGTCCACATGTATAGACAAGTAGTCGCAAACATCATTCCTTTCAAGTGATTACCACATGGCCAAAGACAATAATTTCTTCAACGTCCTTGAAGGGTCCCACTCCGACTTGGCATTGGATGGTCTTCTCACATTAGCCAGACCAGCCTTTGTGAGCGTGTCCCAGTGTCAATTGGCATATAACTTCTCGGCAGGCCCCCATTGAAATAACAGGACTCTCCTCATCGCTGTCTGCCAATCACTTCGGAAATCTGGAAGGGTCCTTCCAGACTGTCAACCTGTCATCCGGGTATCTCACGCTGGACTTCAGTTTCTGCAGAATTATGTTGGCAGAATTATGTATACAGATTGTAGCAATAGAAAAGAATTGTTGCAACATGTACTTACAGATAAAAGGCAGCAAATTCACTTAATTTATCATCTTTGAGTTTTGTTTTATACCAAACATTTGAGATATATATTGTTCCATGCTGATGAGTTGAAACAATCAATAACTGACATCTCTTAAAAATGTTCCTAGCAACCTATGCTTGCCATACAAGCCAAAGTAATAGATGAGGTAGCAAGTGGGCTCATTGATCGCTCCTAATCGTACCCAATAACATGGGATGTTGTCCATAACAGTCATCATCGGTGCGTCTGGATCGAGCTCATAACATTAATCACTGGTTTGTCTAGTTGAGATTTGATTATTTATAATCCTTGTCATTTAGCCGAACTATTGCTGGATGTGGTGTTAAATGAGTGAATTGGGTTTAACGCCTCTTTGAACAGTATTCCAGTTATATCACGGCATGTAAGCTTGATGTGGGAAGAAAGCCCGAAGTGATGCAGGTCTTACATGTTTACCACTTTGATGAAACCAACAAGCAAGTGTATGATGCTACCCTCGATTCAAACCCACGACCATCGGTTTCTGTCAAGCCCAAGAGATGGAACTATGCACAGCAAGTTGTGGTGCCTTTGATAATAAGGCCATCCATGCCAACAGGTGATAAAGAACAAGCAAACTGAAGAAATATTTGCAGAATAGCTACATGAACATGATGAACCAAACAGAATAATTTCAAATATTTACCACTCACTGCTACTCTTCTCTTGTTCCTCATTGCTTCTCTTTTTCCATTGATGCTGTGCAGATGACTGACCCATTCATCCAGACATCCTGCAAACATAAGTAGCATTCACATTACAGAAATGCCCAAACTGTACATTGAATTCAATTGAAAAAGACCCCAGTTGAGATTCCAACTTAGAACTGTCCTTATTAAAATATTTCATCCCAAACATTCAGAGATAAAACATAACCCCATATTTAACAACTGTCAAAAGATTATTTGACAACAAAGCCAGGGTCCTTCAACATACACTTTACATAGGGAATCACTTGTTGCAAAAAGGATCCTCGCCAAGGTCAGAGTCATTCCATGAAATATTGAATTTTTAAGTTATGAAGCTTATACAAAACAAGGACATAACAGCGTAATTATTAAAATATCTTAAGCGTAAAAAAATAAAGTCTTTGGTGGCCATTATTGTAAATTATAGTCTGTATTAGCATCCCACGAAAGTTTAGAGTTAATAATCGTTCCTAGATCTTTGTACTTTTCTTCATTATCTATAAAAAGCGGATCTAATTTGGATCATCTTGTTTTGACCACAAATCCATTACGCCGCTTATGCAAATCCTTGTCGTCATAACAAACAGTTGACCATAATTCTAAAAAAGGACCCTTGGCGTTTAGGGTAAAGTATGTAGAGCAGGAAAATATCTAAATCAATCTGTTCCATAAGATCTCTGCACAGAAATCATGAGGTCACGTAACCCTGCTACGTACCTGGCATCCGCATTTGCTGCCAATCGCCTTTCCAAATACTGTTGACTTCCGCGTTGTGGATGGCTCAGAGGAACTTCGGCCGGCATTTCCGTGGTGGAGGTGAATGAGAACAATGTATCGATATACGAGGTAAGCTTATCGTATTCAAGCATCACAGTGTATATCGATACACGAGGTTTGTTTACATCCATGTTCTAAAATGGCGCCCTGGACCGTAGGGGATGATGGGTAAAATGGCTTGTTCCGGGTTAACACCTATAAGCTGGGCAACAATGCAGTTTACCGGGCCCAGCCCGAGCTCTACCATCCGCT